GTCTTACTTGCGTTCACTTTCATTCCCCTTTATTTTAATTCCCAGTTCATTAATGTAACCATCATTTGCAACTCAGCCGTCGATGACGCAAATATGACTTGATCATCGGCATACAAAAGGCATTTGACGGTTAACTCGCCCATTCTTAACCCACATTCTTCATCTTTTAAAGTTTGCAAACACCTGTCCATAAATAGGTTGAACAGCCAAGGGGAAGTCACACAGCCCTGTCTGACACCTTTTTGGATGCCAAACCAGTCCGAGTAGACTGATGTGATCTGAATGACAGGGTGAGAAATTGCGTGATAAGAGATAAATGTGGTATGCAAGATGATGTTGTGACCAGGATTAAGAAAGGAATGCTTCGGTGGTTTGGTCATGTAGAAAGAATGAATGAGGAAAGAGTGACAAAGCAAATTTATATGGCAGATGTGAACGGCCGAGTCGGGAAGGGACGCCCTAGAAAAAAGTTTATCGACCAAATTGGCGATATTTTGAAAAGGGGCCACGTTAGAAGTACCCTTAACCGACGAGCATGTATGCGTAGATATATGGATGTAAAGGAGGCGAAAGAGGTGTGTCAGGATCGTGCCAAATGGAAGTCCGTAGTCTCTGCCTACCCCTCTGGGTGACAGGCGTGAGTGTTTTATGTATGTAGAAAGAATACCAGTGTGATAGCATAGTGCTGCTTCGTACGGCGAACGATGAGAACTAGTGGTAGTGGTCTATTCCATGAACACGCATTTGAATTTTGATTTTTAGTCGACGATAGAAGTAAAGTTGTCTATCGATCACTGCACCCGCTTATCTTTCGGTAGACTATGTTGTGTTCGTTTACCACTCTTATTTCTTGAAAATAACTTTCTTTCTTTAGTAACGTAATCAAATTAAAAACTAAGTATTGAAGTATTGAAGTAAGTGGATTGCTGAAATTCAATGACGACAATAGTTAAGGACGTGCAAATGAACCTGCGAACATAGCTGTATTGTTATTTTATAAGCCCGGATGCAGTGTTTTAGAAGCGAAAATTATCACAAGTTGACACTGATAAGTTGATTACTGGGATTCAAACTTATAGACAATAGCTTAGGAGTCTGGTACACTGATCGCTAAGCTACAGTGGTTCATAGCACAACGATACGGTATAGTACAAAGATTAACATTAAAAAATTATTTTCTCAAAACAAGGTCGACCTCTACAACTCCACTTTTGATAAACACGGATTATCTAATAACTGAATGTCAATGTTTGTTCGTATTTATGCTCTGCCATGCAGCTCATCAGATTGCGCTAAAACTTTGTTAACGTATTGCTTATAATTGCGCGAAGGTTATAGGATTATAGGTGTATCTTACCGACAATTTATTTAAAAGTTATCATACCTAATTAAACCATATAACTCTTCCAAATTTAAAATGATATTTCCACAATTATTCTTTCTCGCGAGTTAATAACTACTTTTTAATAATATATTTTGAAATTTTAAACCTTATTATTACTATTATTTGATTATTTTATAATTTTGTATTTCTCTGTATTCACCTGTCCACACATGTCCTTGAAATGCTTAGAGATATTATTGTTTCTTTCTGAAGTCTTTTGCATTAGTTTATGAGTAATAATGATGAAATATTGGGAGAAAAAAGTATTTTAGTTTGACTCTACTTGTAATTGCCTTTGGTGACCTGCCTGCTACTGTTTCTGAAGCTCGTTTATGAGCAATATATAATGAGAATTTAATAGGTAAATTTATAAAATGTATTTTTATAAACATAATAAAACGGAAATTGATTTATTCCAAGAAAAATCAAATTATCTTCAGTGTTATTACAAACGTTAAAACTTAGTCGCCAGTCGAATTAGTTATATAGGTACCTTGTCTCCTGTATTTTAATGTGTTCTCACATCGTCGTATGTTAAGCCATTTTAATTGTTTTCTTTATCCAATTGTTACAACAAGTTTCTTCGTTATTATGGAGTCCGTTTAGATACATTAATTACACAAGGAAAAACATAGAGATTCGAAACAATTACTTGAAGGCAATATAAATATTTGTTCAGTGCGGGATTCGAACCCGCGGGTTTCAGCGCTCACTGCGGCACGGAACCAAATCACTTACTATTCGGATCCGCTAAGGTCCATGTCTTCGTCATTATAGTATGTTATCACATTGATATTTTCAGGAACATTTGCATCTTCTTAGAGAAACATCAAAGTTAGTTAACAGCGTTAAATGTTTGTATACTCCCGTTAAAATATGTGTGTATGTATGTGTAAGACCGTTTTATTATACTTTACTATATACTGCATAAATAAAGAGACTGATGGTATGACTGCTCTACATAAAAAAAAATAAAAAAATAGTAAATTATCTATGGTAAGATTTTGCCCCTTGGGTGGGTCAAACAATATACGCCGTGTTTCACACTCATGCCTCGGAAAACACGTAAAGCCGCTAGTCCTGCGCTTGATCTCTCTCCGGTCGAGTCGGATTGCTGTTCTAGGTTGTTAAGAGTGAGGGTATAGACAGCACTCTTATACCATAGTCCCGCCCTGCGCAGATAGTCTCCGTCGAGATTAGCCGTACTCATTTAATCTCTACTCAGTTCTTTTTACACGACTGCGGAGGGTAATGTGTTTATCACTGTCAGTAGATTAGCCTTAATCTTGTAGTTTTTTTTTAAATAGAATAAGGGTGACAAACGCGCACACAGTCCACCTGATGGTAAGTGGATGTTGTGGCCCATAGACATCTATATTTATCCTCGTTTAAGAATCAAAACGCAGATGCGTCGTCACCCCTGAAAACTAAGATGGAATACCTCGTTTCCAGTAAAAAAGCGTCTTCGGATCTCTACACTCACCATACGAAACACAGCAGCGTAAGCTACTATTTTACGCTGGTATTCTATGAGAGCGTGGTCCTTCCCCGGTCGAGCCGACCCATTCATGCTACAACCATAATATAGCTGCAGCGTGGCTCTACCACGTATAGACATGACAGTAATCTGACTTTTGACCACAACAAGACGCCACACTGCTTAAAAAAAATTAAAGTCGAGGAACTATTTTAAGTGGGTTTCATTGATTAGTTTAAAAATCTTATTTAGGTTTTTCTAGTGATTTTACATTTTGAATGACCACTTAGGATCTGTGACGATTTAAAGTTGATAAGCGACCATTCTCGCTTAAATTTTCTATATAGGTAATAAAGCTGTGATAAAGTTCTTGAACAATCATTAAGAAGCATTATTAGTATTTTTTTATGTGGCCGGGTTTTTCTTAAAACATTATTATTATCCTTGCTTGTTTTATCTTTTTTTGGTTAGTCAATCTTCATGTTGTTTTGATGAAAAACTGCCGTTTAGTTTACATATACTTTATCATTACGTCAACTGTTGGATTTTCGTATAGTGCTTAAAATTATATCCTAACATATCGATATGAGACGAGAGATCTGTCTGTGGTGACACGTAGATCTGAGATGTGGTCCTTCACTTCTGGCCGTATAAGGAACTCATAGTCGTTCAGTAAGTTATGGAGAGGGCTATGCTCGGAGTTTCACTACATGATAGAATTCGTTACAAAGATGTCCTCAATAGAAACAGACTAGCCGACAAAGCCGGAATAAACCGCCAACCCATGGCGAGGAAAAGTTCTCGAGTGGCAGCCACGTACCATCCATTGACACAGCTCGCTCGGGAGTGTGCTTTGTAACATTCCTGGGAGGAGGTCCATATTCAGTATGCTAGTGATGGAACACAAAAACTGTCATAATTTTAAATAGAAATAAAAAATAATTTGTTATTATCTTAAACTGACTTTATATTGTGCCGAGCGAACTTAGTGACATTGCTTGCCTCTCTTTATTGCTTAATTATTAGTATTATTTAACCGTAATTCAGAGATAATCTCGAGTTCAAACTCGAACAATGCCAAAATTTAAATATAAACCATAGTATTTACACAAATTTTCGAGAGAGTGATATTTCGAAGTGAAGTACATTTTTAGATGCTCCACCTAAGCCATCTCCATAGTTTCGATGTTAGTTAGAGATTTTCTGGCAGTTTCATGTACGACATTCCGTTGCGTCACAAAACTAAATTGATTAGAAATAAAACTTGAAGTCATTGTGATAATATCAACTTTTATTAACAATTAGGTAATGACACATGAAAATCCTTTCGTAAAGCATCAAAAGGTAAGGTTTTACATTGGAAGGAATAAAAAAATTCACCAAATGTTTTATATTCGTCACGATATAGGCACAAAATATTAGATGATATTGTTTTTAAAATTCTAACTAACACAAATCTTAAATGAAGACTAGTGAAAATTTCTGTTCGTAATTAAATAGTCGTTATTACAAATTGAATGTTAAAATCCTTTTACTTGTCTTTTTTATGGTTTTATTTTTGTATTATTCAAGTAATGGGACAGTGACGATTATATTGCGTAATAATTAGGAATAATTTAGACAGTGTGTACAATGCTGTATTTTAACATAACAGAATTACAAGATTTCTATACTTGTCGCTGCATAGGTAATCCATTGACTTTCAAATAATATTTCAAGAGACATAAATAAAATAAAATAAATCTTTAAAATAGATTGTGCTGTTTTCAATATTAGTCATGAGATTACCCTTTACCTAGCAAGAGTGTAGTCAGTCAGTGAACCTTTTTAGGCAACCTCACGTACTCCTGGGAGTACGCGTACCACTAATTACTGACATATATATATATATATATATATATATATATATATATATATATATATATAATTAGTACTACTTTAAATTTTATATATTTGCAAACAAACAGGAACAGGTGTCCTATAACAAAACTTAACCACGCGACGCCTCTTTCATCGACATCGACATCACTACGAAACTTTTAAACTGTTATGAGGAATTTTAAACAGTTAAGGAATATCCGGGACAGATAAAAAAGATTTTATTAAAAATATAACGACATTGTTTCTTATTTATATAATTTAAACTTCAATCACTCTATATATACATGAACAACAACTAGGGATAAGAAATGGTTTCTCGACTAATTTACCATCGTAGTCGAGTGCCACCATTTTACGTAGGATAAATTTTTGCTTACACGACGCCTCGTTCCCTTGTGCGAAATGCACTACCGAGTTGCACGGCTCGTTTTGCCTCCTAACAAAAAAAACAAAAACGTATTATATTCTTTTACCATACTTAAGTGTCGAGTAATGTAAAATAATTTGAATACATGCTGGCTACTAACAAAATTATTAAATGCTATCTCAAGTGCTGATTTAACAAGTGCTCGTAGCTAAAAAAATGGCGCGGTGAAAATGGAGTATTTCACATATAATACTCTTGTATACGATAGGAAGCCTGTCGGACAGGTATAGGCTGTAGCTGTAGCTTTAATTTACTGTGTACAAGTTATGATAGATCATCATAAGCATCATCATTGCAAACCCTCACAAGTCTACTGCTGAAAATTGGTCTCCCCCACGGAATGTCACAAAACACCATCCTGAGTCAACTCATCCATCGACTTCCTGCATGTCTTACGAGGTCATCACCCCATCTAGTTGGGAGCTGGCCTACTTTGTGCCTACTGGTATGAGGCTGCCACTCGAACAACCTTTTTTTCCCTTTTTTACAATTACAACTATCTATCCAACGGACTAGTAAGCTAAAGTGGCAATTGGCCGGCCATATAGCTCGAAGAGCCGATAACCAATGGAGAAAAAAGGTTCTCGAGTGGCAACCTCGTATTTGCAGCGAAGTGTGCGGCGTCTCCCCACTAAATGAAGTGACGACCCGGCAAGACATGCAGGAAGTCGATGGATGCAGATGGCACAGGACCGTGCTCTGTAGCATCTCTTGGGAAAGGCCTATGTTCAGCAGTGGACTTGTGAAGGGCTGTGGTGATGAATGATAATGATGATTAAAAAATAATAATAATAGGAAGAAAGAAAATTGTTAATGAGCATGTATACTGTGAACTTACTCGCAAATTTCAACTCTGAAAGTTTGCTGTACATCAAGTACTTTATTTACAATGTAATGCCACTGTTCGTTGATATCCTTCGCCGCTTCAGGATTGTAAAGCTGAAAACAGAGAGTAACGTTATATATATAAAGTGCATGACTTTACTACTTACTACTTACTGCACTTTACTACTTACTGCTATTACTAATAGCTCGGTTTGATTGGAGAAGAATAACGATCACATAAAATACGAATGTGCAATAGAAGCATAATGCTGCTGTGTTTCCTATGGCAAGTGTAAAGAACCGGACACCCTTTTTCTGAAACCGTGGCCTTTTTTTAAGTCTTTTGGGGTAACAACGTAAATGCAATTTGATTCTTAATCAAGGATAGATGTCTGTGGGCTACAACATCTACTTGCCATCAGATAGATTGTACGCTCGTTCGTCTCCTTTAATTCTTAATAAAAAAGTGATACATAGTGAGAGGTTGCGGTTTTCCACAGATTGAGAAGATTTGATTCATCTTTATATTTGGCTAAGCTAGCAGTGTCACTTTGAATTTCCTTCCACAATCATCATCATCCAGCGTAGTGTAATCTAGTTGCGTGTGTGACATTTAATAGACGTGTGCATTAGACTTTAACAGTATCGATATTTTAATATAAAGTTTAAATTACAGTCTATTTGCTCGTTACTACTTGTTTCAGGTTTCGTCTTATTTCTGAAAGAGTTTTAGGGCAAAGAAGCGTCCACTGCGCTGCACCAATGCATGAACTGCAAAATATATATATTTTTTAATTTTGAGCTAAGCATGTTACTCAAAATGTTTTTCTTGCCGGCTGGTACTGAACTCAATTTGCTCGCGTACTGTTGAATTTACGAGCGTTTATGCCCCTATTACACTACACTGAGTCCGGGCCCTGAATTAAGGGTGGGCGTGGCCCCTAATTAAGGACGTCAGTTATTATACTGCACTGATTTTACGCCCTTACTCAGTCATAGGGATAGGCAAGTGAAAAAAATATATCGATATTTTAAACAGTATCAAGATATATCGCATGATAAATATCGATATATCGTTATGTTTTGCATGATGTAGTAGGGTAAGAGCCAAAATTTTATTACTGGACGTTTTGATGACGAAAAAATAAACGACAACAACACATGGCCGCTTTTGTTGTTTAATGATTTGTCTGTTAAATTATAAAATAAATATAACATTTTAAAATATATGGAATTTGACACGTATTCGATATCTAAAATAAATTGATCGAGTTAAAGCTCAAACAATATAATTATTAGTAATAAATGAATAAAAAAATTCCAATCCATTTTCGATATTTGTAAACTTATACTATACTTATACTATAAAAATAAAAATTAGTGATAGTATGACATCGAAAATTAAATTCGAAGACAATTGCAATTTTTAATAATTGTTTTTTTTTTAATTGTAATTTTTATTAATTGAATTGAAGACAATTGCATCTCTGAAATTCGAGTATATTTATATACGGCTATAAGACCATTTGTCTGTTTGTTAATTCGGTAATTAAATTTTCGGGAATGTGCTATTTCTGCTAAATAAACCTTCTAACTTTAAAAGTTTAGGCGTTATCTAATTTCGACATTTTTTTTTCGAATATTTATTTTTCGGTGACATAAAATTCATGATAATCAGCAAAATTTGCAATTTTTAACAAAAAGAATTTTATACCTTCGCATACTTGGTTATTTCGGAACCTCGTGGCTCTGACTCTTTTGACGGTAAGCCAAAACATCGCTAATGAAGGACGATGTTTATGAACGATATGTCGATGTTTGAAAGAATTGATCGTTTGCACCTCTAGTCGCGCATCGAATAAGTGCCATAACTGCTCGTAGTATTAATACACTGCACGGTGGCAATCGCACTGTAGACCAGGTCCACTTTGACGCCCTAATTAGGGACCTTTACTCCCTTACTCATATTACACCACTCCTAGGCTTAGGGAGCCTGATTCAGTGTAGTGTAATAGGGGTATTAACCCTTTATAAAACCAATATCTTTGCACGGCAATACAATCTACTATATATGAATATATATATATATATATATATATATATATATATATATATATATATATATATATATATATATATATATATAATATATATGCTACTATATTATATGAATATGTATCTTCAATTTTTTGGTGGCCAAAAAATTATACTGACGGATTTCCTTACATTCTCTAAATGATAAGCTAATTCGTATAAGTAGTATCGAGCGATGGTGGCGCAGCCGTAGTCGGCCAATTTAGTAGTAATAAGCAAAATATAATAAAGTAATATTACCTTTTCAGAAGACCTGCATAACTCTAAATTCTCCTCCCCAGGTGTTATCCTTTGAGCAATCTGTGGTTCTATCACGTCCACGTTGAATTTGGTAAAACTTGTGTTCGTCATCTGAAAAGTACAATAATTGTATTTTAAATAAATTTGTTTCAAAAATATGAATTTGATTCTTAAGTTGTTTTATAATTACTTATTGTTGCCAGTCTGTAATGAGAAGATTGATTATAGGAGTAATTTAATTTTGTTAACTTGATAAGGTCAACAAAATTTTATCTTAGAGTGCCACAAAACTAAGAGAATGGCCAAGAATACGTTATAATCTCCTGAATACAGAGTAAATATGTGTCTTTAGTATTAGTATTATTAGTTTTTAGTAGTAATTTGGATTCTTAACTAAACTATCGTATAAATAATTCAATGAATTTGTTAAATAGGTTATGTAATTTAATGCCCGCATTAAAGTTTTTTTTTCTCCAATTTATTTATTTTTTGACTAATCTGAGAAATGCAGAACTCTTTCTTCTGTGTCATTTTGTACTATTAACTCCTTTACAGGGGAATTCCTTTTTATTGATTTATTTTTTTTACCGTTATTCTCGATCATTTGTCTTTTTTTTATAGGTTAGGATAACAAACGAGCACACAGTCCACCTGATGGTAAGTAGTTGCTGTGGCCCATAGACATCTACATCTATCCTCGATTACTAATCAAAAATGTAGATGCGTTGTCATCCGCGAGGACTTAGATGAAATGTATCGTTTCCAGTGAAAAGGGTCTCCGGTTCTCTACACTCACCATACGAAACACAGCAGCATTAAGCTGGTGTTTCACGCTGGTATTCTGTGAGAACGTAGAGTAGCTACTTGTGAATAAATATTATCACAATTGTGAACAAGGAAAGTTACACATAAATCATATAAGCCGTGTTTTGAAGCGTCGATGCTGTTTATTTGAGATTGTGATAGCTGTTTTATTTGACCTCGATATCATTATCGCTTGTGACAGGTCATGCACCATGATAATTCGAAAATTGATATCTACAAACCTATTGTCTCACCGCTGCTATAATTACAGGCTGTGAAGCGTTACATTTTAGTTCTTAAAGATGACAAAGCATCTAATGCCTTCTTTGTTCAAACAAAATCTATCTAGATCTAGCTTCAAAGCTGGCTGTAGGTGCTTATGAACTGCAGCAGCTTTTTACCACCGTTAGATGGACTGTAAGTTCCTTTGTCACTTCATTTAAAAAAAAAACAACATGTTGTTTTAATTTTATTAAAAAAATATATAATAGCGTAGGCAGGGCGTTGTGTATTGTTCTGATGAATGCACATCCAATTGTGTATTAACTTTTTCTTTACAATCAACTCGCAAGTATTTTATTATTTACATAGGTATTGTCACAAGGTAATATTTAATAACTATAATTATGTTTTTGATTTTATAATTCTGTAATCATAGAAAGGAAATAAAATGTATAAATAATAATTATAAATTAGCAGAGATGTTATGCAACTGGTTTTAGAAGTTAAGAAATAAAATTTATGTTTGTTGGTAACTATCGTGATGATGTTTTAATTTATTAAATCTCATTTTTGAATATTCCCATCTATTTCAGCCAACATGCTGCTCTTAACGAACTGATTACAAATTGCATTTTTGTGTTCTCTCATAATGTGTACTCCGTACTCCGCATATGAATGTTCAAATAAAATAATAATAAAAAAAATTAATTATTAAGGACATTTCGTCACTCCATTTTGTCTCGTGGATGTCGTAGAAGGCAAATATAGAAAATGTCTGAAAATCTTATTGCAACATACCGATAGATGGCGGTATAAACATCTTGTTTACAACAGACGTGAAATACTCGGATTAACGACGGGCAGCAGCATCGAAGGTGGATTCCTACGTCAATCCGTCCTGCTAAGCGTGACGATAGAGCCGTTGTAGCTCAGATGGTTAGTGCTCGCTGTAAATTTCACAGTACACGAGCAACCCGGGTTCGATCTTCGCCGGCATCAATGAAATTGTTAATTGCAATTTTAATTGCTGATTTACCACGTGCTCGACGGTGAAGAAAAAATATTTCGAAGGCATGATATGAAGTTCGCCAACACGCATTGGCAGCGCAACGTACATTTCCTAAAATCCCTCTCAGAAATGAGAGGAGGTCTTTGCCCGCTGTGGGACACGTATATAGGCTGTAATTTAAGCATGACGATTAAGATTACAACGGGCGATGCTCTGATGAGAAGAAGAATAAGCTAATTCCAGGATTGTTTTATGATTTGTATAAATTTTATAAATATATATCTTGAGGGTCTCGTAAGAGGCGACAGAGGGAAACAAATCAGGAGATGAGCAGCAGCGTCTTCCTGATAACGACTAAAAAAAAACTGCGGTTGCCAACTCGTTTGCCAAGCGTGGCAACTACGGTTAATGTCTCCCCTATGAGGCAATCTATGGGGGTGATCAATGTTCAACAGTGGACTGTAACAGGCTGTAACATTAATAATAATATCCTGATTCATAGATACCTGATTTAACAATAGTGACACGTAGTTTTTAGGATAATCAGGAATGTTGTCACAAATGCCCACATTTTCGCAATCCTTCGGAATCTTTGGTTTAAAGGAAGCTCCGCTTCTCGACGTTAACCCTGGGAATAGGATGCCGCCATTATGTTCTGAAACAGGCAACCATGAAAATTAAATGTATGAAGCTGGTATATTATTTGGTTATTTAACGATGTAAGCTATACTCGTACAATCTCATGAGTAAATACGTGGGGCATAATATCTCCTCCCTCTGTGAAAAGCAGTCAAGGGTTAGTGCGTACTGCCAATGGTGTCGGTGCTAAGAGCTCCATTTTATTTTCATTAGCATAGCGTCACCATTTTTGATAATTTTGTAAAAAAAGTACTAAAATATGCCCAACGTGTGCTATCATGTGACACATTGGAAGAATTGTTTGCCCGTCTTCTAACTTTAAAAAAATTCTCTTGTAAAAGTAAAGTAATAAGTACTTTGACAACCTCTCATTTCAAAGGTACCTCGGTTAGATCCGAGGCGGCATCATGGACGCCTGAATTGAGTAAGTAGCATAAGTATGAGTTTCTAGGGAATGACCACATATTTATGTCATTAGGTGTAGAGACTATCGGTGCATGCGGTGAAGTTCCTAAAGGAACTGTAGCCGCGACTCGTCATTCTTGCTGCTGATAAGAGACTGGTTTTTCAGCGTTCTTTTCGTATAGTGCCTAGGGGAGGAGTACAGTATGATAAAATAGGTTATTAATTTTATTTTTTATAACATTATATTTTTTTTTTTTTTTTTTTTTTTTTTTTTTTTTTTTTATTATTTATATATTAATTAATTTTTAATAGTATAATAATAATTAATTATAGTAGCGTAAAATAGCAACTTAACTCTGTTGTGTTTTGTATGGTGAGTGTAGAGAACCGAAGACCCTTTTTACTGGAGGCGAGGCATTCTATCTTAGTCCCCACGGGTGACAACGCACAGACCTGCATTTTGATTCGTAATCGCGGGTAGATGTAGATGTCCGTGGATCACAACAACCACTTACCTACATATCCTATAAAAAATTAAAATAAAAAAGTTTTGCGAAACTAAAAAAATATCTGTGGTTTAAAGTTTTTATTATTCACTCTTTTTAAATAAATCTAAACCAGCATATAAATAAAAAACCAACAAAAAACTAGCTATCAAAATATTTCCTGCGCTTCTTGATCACTTCATTTTGTTAAGCGTTGGTTAATTTTGAAATAGGCAAATCTTCGTTTACGCTTCGTTTATGGCTTGTATTGACAAAATCCTACATGTAGCATTGGGTGCGTTTGGGGGGGGTGGGGGTTTTTTTTTTGACGAAACACTCAATTTTATTTTGACACACAAAATTATTTAGAGGGACGCAAAAAAAAGGTTTCATATCCCCCGTAATGCTGTAATAGCTATGTTAATAGCTGTAATTATCGTACGTACTGACCACAAACGTTAGTAAAGCTATTTAAAAAAGAAAGTATGGAATGGTTTTTTCCGAATTTAATTTGTTCTTATGGAATTATTGCGTAATATTGCGTTATAACTTCTGAATTTGATTTTAAATTTAGGTTTTATTTAAATGTTTACCTAGACTGCCTTGTTCATTGCGTTGTGTGAATTGTTACTGTAAATAAACTGATAACACCAGATTTAAACGCTACTCAATTTGAATGGGCATGATATGTAGCTGAGATGTCGAAAGAAATTGTAGTGCGATTTTTCCCTTTTAAGGGTGATAGCCTTGTTTTTATGCATGATAATGCGCTCACGATACTGCTTTGAGATGATGATGATGATGATGTGGACTACCTTTGAGACGATAAAATCAATGTTACGGGATGGCCAGCGCACTCGCACGATTTATCAATATGCATGTATGGGATAAATTTGAAAGATTTTAGAAAAGAAATCCTGCCCACTGAATTTGAGAGATCTGAAAAACGTATTACAGGAAGAATGGAACGCATTAAAAGAAGAATGTAACGCAATCTCTCAAGATTTAATTGATAGCTTGGTTAGGTAAACCAGACTGAAACCAGTTCAAAGATCTAGAGGGTGAACACTAAGTTACACTACTACACTGGTACACTAAGTACTGATTATAGCCTACATTATAAGGCCTTTCCTAAGTATATATAAAAATAATGACTAAAAATTTAGGTACTAGAATGTTATTTTCCTGTAAAACTTTTCTTTTTTTAATTTGATATATTTTCGTCATTTGATCGTTTATTTTTTTGACGCCTGCAATTATAAAATATGAATAAAAATCAAAATTCATAGTTAATAAGCTTAATTGTCAGAAATATCCATGATATTTTGTTAAATACACACTTTTGCGTTCCCTTAAATTTGTCCTTGAGTATTCATATAATAATATCGTTAATACGGTAATACAAGTATTTCAAGCGGGCCTACTTCTAAACATCAATGACATTGTGCGGCACCCAGCGCGAAACTATGCTTCTCACTCAGGGGTCCGTGGATAAAATTTTGAGAATCTAATCTGCAATTATTTTTAAATCTCTTCATACGTAATTCGGCTGTTCTCTTCAATTAAATTTTTCATTGCTAGACCTGTGCCGCATGAGCCATGAAATGGTGACCACTCGCACTCTCAGATGTTACACAGTTAAGGTTTATTCATACGGGAGTTTATTCATAAATGTCACTTGAAATTTTTTAAAAGATATCGTCCGGTTTTAGGCGATATTGAAATCGTAAAAGATCATCGCGCGAAAATATCTTCAATTTTAAAAAATAAATAAATATGAAATCAATTTTATAAAAATGTATTCTCAATATGATCTAAAAATAGTAAAATTTTTCATTTGATAAAACTTTTACACGGTTTTATTATGAAATCTTTGCAAAGTTCACGTGTAAATAGAAATTTAGCGTCATATTTATATATTTACATTTTTTTTATCGAGTCAATTATTATAACATACGATGAACGAAACATCTTCACCGAACCCTTGTCCGTATGTTAAATTTATAATGAAAATTATTTTCTTTTTCGTGCTACGAAATTAAAGAGGTTCCAAAAAAGTTAAAAAGTAGTGGAATGTAGCTTAAGGGGCAATAGCTCCTGAAATGGCTTAGAAACATTCTCCGTTATGCCGGAAATATTGCAGCATTAATTTTGAAATAAATATATAATAGGTAAAGTTGAGGGTTATGTTAAGTACTATGTTAGACGAAAACACGATTCCGTAAAATTTTTTCAATAGAAAAAAATCCAAAGTTATCTCCAAACTGAACAATAAACCGCTGGTATTCATAAAATACTTTAAATTAGATCATGAAACCTTGCATACTAACTGGACTAATAGTTAAGCAGGGCTTATGTTTTTTCTTTTTTTAATAACCATTATTTCCACTGTAAAAACAAATTACCTAAATTATGGCGTCCTGAACCTTGTTCGCTGCCGCCCGATCAGTCTCGCTTCGAACGGGGAAGCTGTATAGCTTACGATCAGAATACACATTACGCAACAGGACGACGTAAAATAAAAATGGGAAACAACCGTAATAAAAAAAGCGACTGGGTTGGTGTAAAAAAAGGCATTAATATGATAAACCTATCAAATAAGTATCTAACGACCTATCTACTTACAGTATTAGTGATTACAAACATCTCTGTACATAGCATACTACGCGCGGGGAAGTGGGGGCGAAATTAGAATTTGAGCTGAGGTAGTATAGACCCTTAAAACATAAAATCGCGTCACTTTTATGTATCAAAATTCACTACAAACTACAATAACAATATTAACGTGAGTTAAGTTCCCGCCTAAGCTCCACTGGCTAGTTTCTGATCCAAATTTTTTCTTCGCATACCTTTTTGCGTGGCTTGTCTTATAAAATATGTCATAAACCCGGTCCAAACCGTGATGGGTTTGGGGCAACTTAATCTATCATAATACAATTCTATTTGTACTTTACAAATGATAAATCTTTCCAGTGAGAATACAGAGCAGACGTGTCGCATAGTAATTTAATAATCCATTAATTTTAGTGAAGCAAAATCCAACCATCGCGCTTAAACATTATAAACTACTTTGGCATCACTCAAGTTAGACTAAGAAGTTGTACGTCACGAAACTCTTTAATATATATTTCTTTTTGCAATCTGTATGCTCATAACCCATTTATAACTTGAATATTGTAACTTCTCATTAAGTGAAATGTATATTTCTTTTGCGAATAAATTATCTTTAACGATAAAAGGTACCTTATTTCATACTGTAGAAGAAAAGACATGTATTACAAATAATAATAACTTTGCTATAATATAATATATTCATAATTGTTCAGGTAGCCATTGGTTAGGTGGATTGATAAGAATCTGCGAAACAGTACCACAACAATCATTTCTGCATTGTAATTATTATTTTGTCGTGTCCCGCACTTATTACAAAATCCTGTCCTTTGCACCATATCGCTTCATTTAATTGATAAGTACAATTTAGATAATGAAAAAGTTTTCAAGTATAATTCAATGTACTGTAGATATTTTATTTGTTTAATTTGTTATATGTAACTATGAGAATGCTTCTAGGACATTTTAAAGTTAAACACAGGACTAAGGTGCCACCGGAGAAATAAATTTGAACAATTTACTCATTTTTATGATTTAGGGAGCCCGGCATTTATCGACGCGGAATCGGCTTTAGCCGGTCAGAAAAACCTTTATATCTACAAAATACGGGTATTGCTAATCGCATTCTCAGACAACGCGACGCGATTGCAGCCGGTAGCAAAACGATTAGCTGATCGCATCCGCACGCCGCTGAAAGTTGCCGAACGCCCACATCGTCGTGGTCGGTCGGACGGTCGAACGGCGTTGAAATGATCCGTTTGCATGATTTCGTCCTGATGGCAACTGAACCGAACGGCGGTGGACAACAGTCGAATGATGAATTCGATTGAAGTCCACTGCCGAACGAATGTGAACAGGCGTATCGTTCAAAGGCGTCGACTGCCGAAAGTAAGAGAACAGCCGTCTTAACGGCCGTTCTAGGAAATCGACTGCCGAATGCAAGTGAATAGCCATCGAAACAGTTGATCGGAGTTGTCACTAGGCTTAAGCTGGTTGGACACTGTCGGTCTTAAGGACTCCCTAAAACCGATAGTGTGAATCGTTTTGTGTTAAATGTATTGATATAAGCTTCTTTTCTGAATAAAAGCTAAACCCACCATTGGCTGTTAGTTCATTTCTCGGTGCGGCTCTCGTTCTTCTAAACGGGTGATGGCCAGTTCTTGCTGCCTCAATGCAATATGCTGTTATGTGTATCTGAAAAGGGAAAGAAAAAAAATTACATCAACACCTTATACCCTAAACTTTCCGATGGCCGAATTATACATTAACATGGAATAGAATCTTTTTTATACAATATGGATTACATGTATTTTATTAAAAGTAATTTTTTACTTTTACCACTGGTTTGGAAAAACCTCTGTCTTGGGAAAAACCAGCAAGAAACCCAACGGAGCTTTTTTTGAAAGCATAATTTACAATAAAATATTTATACAACTGTTGCTACAAGTTAGTAAGTAAAGCGCCCATAGACACTTGAAACTGCGCCCTCCTTTCTGCTGCGCCCTCCTTTCTGCCAAGGAGGGTCGCGTTCATATACGGCTTAGAGATCTCTAGTCAGATCGTTAAGCCAATTCCTAAAAGGTTGGGTTTAGTGGGTAAAAGTCACCACATAACCTATGCTATGAGCATTCCCAACCTCCCTCCCCCCGCTTTCCGGAGGGTTGCCCATATTTGCTTCGGGCGCAAAAAAAAAAACACTTGAAACTTACTTCTATATATTAAAAATAAATACGAAATTTATTTTTATTGACATATATATTTAAGTAAATTTACTGAAATTTACTAAAAAGCGAGTAAACAGTCTAGGTCTAAGTCTACTTGAAAATTTGTTCATCTTGGTAGGTACTAAAATCTTACCTCTTTTTTTTTCAAGTTGAAGTTAGTTTCAAGTGTCTACGGGCTGCAGTGCCGCCTGGCACGTGACATATGAACTTACAGTCCACCACCAGGTGTAGGAAAAGATCGGTCGTCACTTCGGTTTTATAAAAAAAAAAACAAAGTTGTAGAAGCTTCTTATGAATGTTGATAAGATGTTGAGCTTTAATAGTGTTTTAACATAGAACTACAGAACATGAAATAGACACTTTAAATACTTTTCTTAAATACTTCAAGGAACTTGTCAGAACGAACTCGACAGCGTAGTTTATGAGGAACCTTTATCACTTTTCAGCTGCCTTAGCAGCTATCTCTGATTAGGGTCAAATCCCTGCTGACCATAAAAATAAGCGATAATTCTTCGTTCTTGAACACAAGATAGAGATTTTATGAACAATTTCTATACAAACATAATTTAAAGTGATGAAATTATAGGTCCGGTCAATGTAATACTTAAAAGCATTAACACAGATATGTTAAGAAAACACATGCTGGTAACTACAATATAAATAAAAACCAATAAACAGATACCCGTGCGGTTTTATTATCAAAATGATGGGAACAAATCGGTTATTTAATTAAAACTAGTGTCGGGCCATTTGATTGCTTTTAATATTTTGGTATATAGTTTAATCATGTTACTTGAGTTTATTTTCCGGCCTTAACGGCAATTTACATATAAAATTAAAGTATACAGCCCATATACGTCCCACTGCTGGGCACAGGCATCCCCTCATTTCTGAGAGGGTTTTAGGGCAAGGAAGTGTCCGCTGTGCTGCCCCAATGCGTGTTGGCGAACTTCACATGTCTTGAAATATTTTTTTCTCTTATTCCTCAGACATGCAGGTTTCCTCAAGATGTTTTCCTTCACCGCCGAGCACGTGGTAAATCAGCACTTAAAATTGCAATTAACAATTTCATTGTTGCCGGCGGGGATCGAACCCGGTGTACGGGCTGCAGCACGTACATTTTTGTGGCGTCGGCAGTTTACGCTACAAAGCTACAATAATTCATTTTGAGTCAGTGCGCTAATTGAGCCCAGCAATACCGGTCACGCGTGCACGCGGTAGCATTTCCCATCTATCATTAAATTAGATTTAGTTGGTTCTATCATTAAACTATCAATTATCAACTTACCAGTATTGACTATCATTTACTATCATCTGACTACGTGGGGTTATATGTCCTTCGACAAACTCGCATGTGAGTACAAAAAGTGTGCATCACAAGTGAGAGCAACCAGCAGGAGACGTGAGCTATTATCGGGTTGTCAACATCGGGACTCGGTGAGCTGCAAACAGCTGAGCAGATCTGAAGTAAGATCTTTCCTTTTTTACTATCACTATGTCCAACATGGAGGATATTTTGGAAAATCAACAACAATTGTTCGGGGCAATAGAGCAGACTTTTACCAATTTTAAAAAGGATAGTGCCGATCGAAAGACGACAGATTATATCAAACGGAGGTTAGATACTTTAGACAAATGCTGGGCAGAATTTCAATCTAATTATGGTATATTAAGTGGAATAGAGTATGCGAAGTCTCATTCCTATTTTACGAGTAACCAATTTGAATCGTTTAGAAATAAATACGAGAAAATTAGAACAGCAATAACTACCTATCAGGTTAGAGATGACAGGCCTGCAACTCCAGTGTTGAAATCCGCTAAACCGCTAGGGGTGCCTGGACCATCTTGGCAGCCATCGCCGCAGGTTACCCTGTCACAGTCCCGGGGGAATAATAGCAAGACGGACGATGTGTTACGCAAGCGAACTAGTAATTTTAAGGCATTCGAACACACAGTATCCAATATCAACCTAGATTCGATATCAGAAAAGTGGAAATTCGATCATTTATTACGTGCTATACAATCGCGTTGGTCTGTGATTGATAATGTGCATTGGAGTTAGACAGTGAGCTTGGGGGTATGGAACCCAGATTATGAGAAAATACAACGAGATTATCAAAACCATCAATCGTAAATTGTGATCTGTATAACATCGAGAGCAATCGACCCCTCACGTTGAGATACCTACATTTAGTGGTAGCTACCATCAGTGGAGTTCCTTCAAAGACCTATTCACGGAAACTATTCACGGCAACCCGTCATTATCTAACGCACAAAGGATGCAATTACTTAAAACTAAAGTTAGAGGTGAAGCGGAGAGACTTATTCAACATCTACCAATATCATCTGATAATTACCCAATCTGTTGGGATATACTTAACAACAGATATAATAATAAACGCTTAATTTTCCTCTCGCATATCGATATCTTACTAAATATCCCCGTAACGCAACATACGTCATTAAATCATATAAAGCGTATTCACGACACAACCCTAGAAACATTAAAAGCTATCAAAAATTTAGGCGTTAACGTTGATTCGTGGGATTCATTGATTGTGCACCTCCTTTCGCAAAAGCTCGATACTGACACGCATAATGAGACAGAGACATGGAGTCAGTCAAGGAGCCCCGCGAGTTACCTAATTTGCACGAATTTCTGTCAGTTTTATAAGGCAAGTTTACAAGTTTAGAATCTTCTCGAAAGAAGCTTGAGACCTCTGCAAAAATGTACATAGCAACAATAATAATTCGCCGCAACATTTCAATAAGTATCAAAGAAACTTGAATAAACAAGCCTTTCCGATGCACTGTAAATTATTCACTTTACAACAATTAAATGCGAATAACAATACTTCTTGGAAATTTTATAAATGTGGACTTTGCAAAACCAGTAAACATTGTCTTTATTACTGTCGACAGTTTTTAAATATGACACCTCACCTAAAGCTTAAAACTGTATCAAGACTGAATGTTTGCGAAAATTGCCTTTATTCAAATAATGGTAAGCCATTTATTTCCGACAAAAGATGTACAGAGTGCAATGAAGCGCATAATTCTATTTTGCATAAATCATTTCAACATAATTATAATAATTAGCCGAAGTCAGCAACCCGGGGAAACAACCAGAAACCTGAAACTTCGGGTCATGTACGAAGCAACTCACACGTGTCGATGCAATGTGACGTGCCTGAAATTCTTTTAGCTACAGCTATACTTAAGGTACAAAAATATGATGGGAGTTTCGTCAAAATGCGTGCTCTAATAGATCAGGGGTCCCAAGCTTCTCTCATCAGTGAATATGCGGCTCAGTTCGGCCAACCTTGACTTCGATTTATGGGAGTGATATCTGGAGTAGGTACTAAGGAGACAAACAATTGTAAAAGCGTCATGACTATCAAATGCAAAGCTATAAGTAACGATTTTGAATTTGAACCGGAAGTATACACAATGAAAAGCCTTATCAAAAATTTGCCTAACTTTAGCTTTTCAAAACCATCCTGGACATATTTAAATAACATCACGTTAGCAGATCCCGAATTTAATATCAGTCGCCCGGTCGACCTTTTATTAGTAGCAGATGTTTTTTCTTTGATTTTATTGGAGGGAATTTGTAGTAATATACCAATAGCTCAGAATACTTGTTTAGGCTGGATTATAACCGGTAACCAACCAGTAAAAACTTTACAATGTAACGTGATCATTAACGACTTAAAGGTGATCCAAAAATTTTGGGAGATGGAGGATATCAGTGAAGAATATACGCTATCATTAGATGATGAACTATGCATCGACTATTACAAGTCTACTACTATCAGGCGCAAAGACGGTCGATACGAAGTACGTTTGCCCCTCATCCCAGACTTTTCGGATAAGCTGGGAGAATCAAAATCAAAAGCTATCGCTCAATTTAAATCATTAGAAAACACATTAAAAAACACGAAAAGACACATGATTCCAGTTACCGGTAAACCGACGCAGGGACATCAGCATTGTGTATTAACTCATCATAGTGTGCGTGCTGACGACACTATCATTAATTCCAAATTTAAAGTGGTATTTAATACTTCGTGTAAAACATCATCGGAGAATAGCTTGAACAACGTCATGAGATGTGGTCCTAATCTCCAACTGGATCTACAGTCTCTCATAATCAAGTGGAGACAATATCAGTTTGCGTTCACAGCCGACATTGAAAAAATGTTCAGGCAGATTTGGATCCATCCCGATGATCAGCAGTTGTTAAGAATCGTATGGCGTGGCTCTCCTCCAGAACTCATCAAAAACTATCAACTTACCACGGTCACGTATGGAACGAAAGCAGCGCCGTTCCTAGCGATGATGACTCTCAAACAACTTGTATGTGATGAACAACCTAACTATCAAAACAGTCAGGCGATCAACGTATTAAACAACTGTTTTTACATGGATGACCTGGTCCATGGGTGTCACGATATAAGAACCGCACTT